TCCCCAGCCAGCATGGCTGGCTAGGGAATTCTGGGAGTTGAAGTCCACGCATCTTAAAGTTGCCAAGGTTGAGAAACACTGGTTTAGCCTATTGGGTGAACCAGCTGTTCCTTGGTAAGCATATTTAGGACATAACTTTAAGTCTCTCTTTTTTGTAAGTCGTAAAAAAAAGTAAAGCCCTACATGGCATAAGACCTGGTTACTTGAGGGACCGCCTGTCTCCCTTAACATCTGCCTGACTGATTCGATCCTGCAGGGTTTGAATGCTCCGGGCTCCTCCAAATAAAAGCCTTCCCTCTGGAATGAGCTCCCCCCCCCCGAGATCTGGATAGCCCCTACTTTGGCCTCCAGTAGACCCCTCACTTTATTGCCTTGCCATCTTTTACCTTTACTGTTTATGTTTTATTGATTTTATTGTACTTTCTTTGTTTGATGGTTGTGAGCTGCCCAGAGTCGTTGAGAGCAGCACACACATTTAATTTATTATTTGTTTGCTCGTTTCCTTGTCTGGTGCCCTTCAACTACCCTAGGGGACTCCTCCTTTTGGCCAGCTGCGCTCCCCCAAACTCTCCAGCCACCCCCAGGGTGCCCTCCCCATTCTCATGCTTCGCTCCCTTTCTCTTGCCAGTTTATGTGCTTCTTGCAATGGCCGCCCAGCATCCTATTTCGACTGGTTCTGGGTGCACCCGCGCACTGATCCGGTATCGCAAAAAGGCTCAGCCAGACACGGTGGCTGTTTTTCGTTTCAGTTTGTCCTTGCTGAGAATTTGAGGTTGTATGCTCTAAATCAAATGTTCGAAAGGTTTCATCTTTTGAGTTAGGTCTGAGTAAAGAAAAATTACTATTTCTGCGATGACAAACGGCAAAAGATGTCTGTTAATCTGGACTCCTGATAGGGTTGCATTCAGCTGGTTGCTCCTTCGGGGGGAACCATCGTTGTTAAACGATGGCTGACTCTGGAATTTCCCACCCTCCCCGTCCCTTTCAGATCCAGACGCACATCGATCCCCTGACGGGGTGCCTCAAGTACTACACGCCCCAAGGCCGCTTCGTGCACATTCCGCCACCTCTTCCTCGCTCCGACTGGGCCAACGATTTTGGATTGCCCTGGTGGAAAGATATCGTGTATGAAGTAGGCACCTTGTCTGCTAAAACCCGGTTCATACGGATTGTCAACACTCTGACCTCTCAGGAGCAGACCCTCGAGGTGAGTCCTGGGCTCTGGGGTTGCACAGGTGGGATTGAGACATCCCCACCCCCTGCTGGCCCTAAGGCCCTTTTAGCAGCTGAACCTCTTCCCGTGCTCACTTGGATTGCGTTTGCGCCACGGGCTTGAGCAGGGCACTTCGTTAGGGTTAGGCTATAAACCTAAGAGCTGTATTTGCTTAATGTGCTCATACGTGCTTAGGGTTAACTACGGTTAGGGCTATATGGGGCGAACCCAGCCTATTTGGTGAGTGTACAGTTCTACATATTGTCCCAGCCAGAAGAGGAGTTAAAAAGTCCCCTTGTTGCATGAGCATAGTCAGTGTGGAAGTCGAGCAAAGTTGGCAGGCTCCTCTCCACTCCTACCCTTACCCTCGGGGGGCTGAAGGCTGCCTCCCGGTGTTTGAGAGGCCTTCTGCCCTCCTGCAACGGGCCCTACGGACAGGCGTGGCCTCGTCTGCAGGTATGTTCAGAAGAAACGCTGTGGGAGATCCTGCGGCGCTACCTCCCCTACAACGCCCACGCAGCCAGTTACACGTGGAAGTACCATGGCGTCTGCCTGGACATGGACAAGAACCTTCAGAGCAACAACATCCCCGATGAAGATGAGGAGTTCTACCAGCTCAACCTGGACGCAGATGCCTTCACGCCCGCTATTTTGCTCTACTTCAATGACGACCTCACTGAGTTCTAGAAACCCCTAAACGGAGAGGCAGAAGAGGTGAGGGCTGCAGCCACCCCAGCCCCTCCAGCGGAAAGTCCAGGTTCTCTGCCCCTTCTTCTCACCAGCAGCAATTCTTTGGTACGACCCTGAGCTTAAGTTTAGGGACAGTTGCTCGTTTGGTCCTCGGACTGGTTAACCGAGCGAACCCACTTCCCCAGCGCTCCTGCTGACTTGGACACGCGCACTTGGTGGAAATGAAGATGCACCCCAAAGGATGGCGGTTTCCTAACATACATTTTCCCAGGCTTGTGAATGTCCACCCTGAACCTTAGCGCGCTCGCAGCTACTAAGCTGTTCACTGCTGTGGCCACAAGATGTCAGCAGTGGCTCATTCTGCAGCCATTTTGGTTTTAAAAATAAAGTAACCACCTTTATGTTCCCCAGCTCATTATTCTGCAGGCCTTGACCTCTGAGAGAAGCCTTGCTGCCACTCTTCCCCTTTTATTTGGAGAGGGGAGAGAGGGACCCACACGCTTTTATATCTTAACTTTTAAACTAGTATCTTGTGGCCGGAATAGACCTTGATGAACATCCTGCTCAACCATGAAGTAAATTAAGTAACCTTGGAGCAATTATTTTCTCCTGCCTAAGCTATTTCAAAGGGCTGTTTTGAGGGTAAAATGGCAGGAGGTGAAGGAACCAGATAGGTAACCGTAAATCCCCTTGGAGGATAGGTGGGATAAAAATGCAACAGCAAAACAAGGTGTTTGCATTGAAAAGACATCATTGTCAAATTCTTTTTAAAAATCAAGCTTTTTAAAAAATCATCTTGATGCATGCATTGGAAAGAGTAAATCTTCAATAAACATAAACTTTTTATTGCATAACTTCAGATGCTAAGGAAAAAATATGTGACTATCAGTATCACATGTTCTCTGGGTTATAAATTAATACGCAGACACCTAACCTCATGCTTACTTTCTCAGAAGTAAGCCTGTTTTGATCTATTTAGCAAGAGTGATTTTGTAGGAACTCTATCCAGGATTGCAGCCAAACTGTTTTCACAAACCAGTGTTTTCAAAGAAACAAAAGCAAAGTTGTATCTGAGTCAAACTTGATTCTTGGTGATTTCGTGATCACAAGACATCTAGGGTTTTTTGGCAGTGGTACCCAAGTGGCTCGTCACTGTTTTCTTCTGGAATGTCTGGGCATGTCCTGGTGGTCTCCTATCAAATATTAACCAGATCCAAGTTTGTTTAGTTTTTGGAGATCAGCCAAAGTCACTTAGACGATGCCGCATACCTGGGTACAAAGAAAATAAATCATTATATTCAGGTATATATGTGGAAAAACTAGGGTTTCTTTTTCCCAGGTCTTTCAGATGTCCACTTCCCTCCTCATGACGCAAGTGTAGTGGGAGGGAAATCAGTGATTCTTCTCTCTGTCCCCCACCCATAAAGCATCTGTTTCTGCCATCAATCATTACAGTATGCGCGGCATCTTTTTTACGATCAGTACCCGGCATTCACTGCTCCAGTGTAAATTAGGCGTCATTTCAGACCTTCATTTTGAAAGGCCCCAAGTATTTCCTTTTAAAAAAACAATTCTGCATCTAAAATACAGGTGAAAACACATCCCCTAGAGGAGATTGTAGTCCATAGTGGTTGTGAGACACAGCTTCCAATAAGAAGGCATTCTGTGGCCTCTGGTTGCCTCTGATGTGTTTTAAAACTGCAGCCCCCGTAAAGACTTCTCTGTGTGCTTCTGCTCTTCAAGAGCTTAGAGCAGTGTTTCTCAACCTCGGCCACTTGAAGATGAGCGGACTTCAACTCCCAGAATTCCCCAGCCACCTGTCTTCAAGTGGCCAAGGTTGAGAAACACTGGCTTAGAGGTTGTTAATCAAAGATAGATCTTAAGTAGTTGTTGAGATCCAAAGACTCACGTGCACACAGACCACTAGTCCCACGAGACGGGGGGACATCTGTGGAGCATGCTGAAGGGACAGCCGGTGTAAAAGAACAGGAAACCCTCAAGGAGGATCAAGATAGCCCTGAGGACCCCCCTCCAATAAGTGTGCTAGCGGGATCATCGCACGGGTGTCGCTTCTCCCCAGTGGCAGCTGGTTCCCTGCTGGCTGACCCACCTGGAGGCAGTGGGCAGGCAGGGGAAGCTTTGCTGGATGTGGGAAGGAAAGGACACCCCGCGTCTCCGGGGAGGATATGGACTCTCGGCTTCCGAAGCAGCATCTGAGCCGTCCTGTCGCGGCACTGCAGGCTGTGCTGGAGACGCGCTGAAGGATCACAGAGGATTCTGAGACTTAGACGGCACAAAGTCATAGACAAGAGATGCTTTACACTGCTGGCTGGGGAATTCCGGGCGTTGAAGTCCACCCTTCTGAAGGTCGCCAAGGTTGAGAAGCCCTGCCCTAGATGGTCTAGTCTTGATCTGACTTGGAGGGAGGCGGTGGGAGCTTCCGCGCCTGTTCTCAGGCTAGCCTCGGCAGTCCCCCTGGGGACATAACCTCCCCCTCTGCCCTCCGTGTCTCCCGCCCGCCCCGTCAGGGCATCAGATCTTTCCATTATGGCAGAGAGAATAATGGGCATCGGTCTGTTTCCTCATAATGCCAGCAAGGCTCTCGCCACATCAGGCCAGTGGTCCTCTTCTTTCTCCCTCTTGGGTTTGTTCCTGTCTGTGACAGCTGTTAGAGGGAAAGCAGGGGGGCGAAATCCTAAGTGCGGGTTGTGAAATGAGACTTGAAGGTCAAATATTATCTACAGTTCTGGCAGCCCCGTAACCCCAGGGAGATTTTCACTTGTACTGAGAACAGATGGGACTGTTACCCTCCATCCTCCATCTTGGGGGGAAGAAATGCAGCCGCTCCGAAGAAAGCCCCTTCTGAAGGCTGCGACCCGCCTTTCTGTTCCCTTCCAGCGCCGCGGGATTGTCTCCCCTCCCACCTGCCCCTGCCTTTAACCCCAGCACACTCCTCCTTCCATCTGACAGCTGGTTTGCACAAGAGCAGCTTTGGGTGGCAGTTTGCCCCCTTCTCCTCCCCACCCCCCAACTCCTGGCCTTTTGCTCTGTAGGGAAGAAGAGTTCTTCTAAAGAGGATTGTATTCTTTAACAGAGTTTATTTGCTGTTTTTTTTAACCAGTTTGAGGTTGCAATCACACGTACGCTTGTTTGGGTGTACACCTCCGTGAATAAAGCGGGCTGTACTTAACAAGCATAGGATTGAACTGCCTTTGTTTTAACCAACTTCTTCCTTGGTGACCTTTTTAAAAGACAGAATGGTAGGCTATCTTTTTACTTAAAAAAGAGAGGGATAAATGTTGCAAATTCACCTTCTTCCAAAGTTCATTCTCAAGGAGCCGAGGCAGTTGGTGACTCGCTTCTCTCATCTCTGGGGATCATTCCCCAAATGAGCCACCCCTTCTTTGCACTAGCCCACTTTGCTTTGGTAAGAGCCTGATGCAAAGGGAACCCCCAGATGGATGATTGGGGCTCCCTTCTGCCACTCAAGATTGTGTGGCCTCAGTGGAAAATGAGCCGGCCTTAGAATGGTTGAGCCAGGAAGTCTGGCTGGATGATCTTGGGCGAGATGCTGCCTTGCAAGCCTATCCCAGTAGAGAGGGGGGCTGTGAAGATAAAAGGGGGGACAGCTGCCACGTGCTGCTTTGAGAATGGTAGGAGATCCATCCATCCATCCATCCATCCATCCATCCATCCATCCATCCATCCATCCATCCTTATCTATCTCCTACCGTGTATTTTATATATGTATAAATAAGGTCACTGGCTCAGTGGAAAATATAAAAAGGGTAGGTGAGATTGTTATACAGTGCTGACGTACCTTTGCTGACTCGTCAGCCTTCTCTGAGCGTGGATGCATAAAGTAACTGTCTTAACTGTGGATGCACAAAGTAACCGTCATTAGAAGCAGCCAATGTTTAAAAAAAAGAATCTATTTTCCACTCGCTTTCCAAAAAGAAGTCAAAGCAGCTAAGAACAGTAGAACTGTAATATACATATTATAAAAAAAATAATCACAATTTCTGTAGACAGTAAGCTAGTCAGGACTAGGAAAATATTAAAAATAAACTGGAAGATGTTGAGCTAACAAGTTTGTTTCAGTACGTAACTATGATTTTTATCAGCTGTTTAAACCAACAGAGCGATTGGGCTCAATAAGCCTGCCGGCAATGGCAATTGCGGGATCAGGAATTGTGCAGGTATTTCAGATGCAATTCTATACACAGCTTAAGATGGACAAGGTCCACAACATTGTGGTAGAAGTTCTCCAACAGAGCTGTTGGATTAAGTAGACACTGGAGCGTACAGCATGACCCGGAACTCACGGGCTGGTTAAGACCTGGGGGGAGCGTTTATTGCACTTAACATCCAACTTTCAGTATCAGCTGGAAAGTTGTCACAAGTCTTCAAGCATTTGATGATTTTGCCAGAAGGTGTGGGCTCTTGTTTTCTGAATGCTATAATCTGGCAAAGGTGCTAGCGGACCACCTGACCTCATGGGATGAATTTGTGCAGAGGCTCTTGTCCATCTGATCTTTTGTATCCAAGGGTTTAATTTCTCCAGGCTCTCACCCATGTTTCCAACATGGTGCATGCTTAAGCAATACCAGAGGCATCAGGGAAAAGACCTTGAAAAAATCCCCCCCCCCAGGAAACAGCAACAGTTCCCTCAAGGGAAGGGCAAGCTTATGGGGTGAAAAGCCCTGCATCTTTGGCCCTTTTGAAAACCAAGAGGCAGCGTGGTGGGGGATGAACTGGTGAATTAAAGAGTGCGCTTGATGGGATTCCTGACACTGTGGGCATTGTGAAGAAGCTTCAAAGACAGACCGGAGAGTAAGGAAAAGGGTGTTTTCTTCTCTGCAGTCCGTTCCCTTGAACAGCAAGGACCTAAGGATTTTGGCCGGGTTCAGGAAGTTACGTTCAGCATTTGTTGCTTTAACTAATGGGTAAGATGAAGCTCAGAACTGGTGAAACTCCAAGCTTAAATTCAGATGCTGCTGCGCCGCTTCAAGCTTTCTCTCTTCCATCAGGAAGAGGAATTATTGTACGTAAACTAGAAAGTACATTTCTAAGTAAAAGATTTTGATAGCGCAAAACCTCAAACGCTCTTCTGGAGCGAGCACTGGCTTCCAGCATTGCCAGGGAAATGTTTCAACATGAATGAATGGGATTGGCGCCCACTGGCTCCTGGAGGGCTTCAGAGGGTGTTGCGTTAAATGTAAAAGCCACATGGGGGATAACATTCATTTGGCAAACTGTGTCTCCTGCAGGCACAGTTACTCCTCTGTGGACACTTATAACTGGTCTACAGGGGAAAAGCTTAGACTTAGGTTGAACACTGTCATAAAAAAGAAAAAGAAAAGCTGCATTGTAATACCTTAAACTGGCCTCCATTTCTTCCCATTAAAAAAGGCTATTCCCACCCCAGCCAATCGTTTGAAGTGAGTGTCCCATCAGCACCTACTACTGTCATTTCTGGATATTATGAAGTGTGATATGGTGAGGATTTAAATATATGCATATTTTAAAAATCTCTACTGAAATCAGCAAGATTTTCTTTCATGTGCTATTTTGTCTCATTTTATACTTTTAGAAAATTGCAGGTGGAGAAAATCTGCAATGCATACTCCTCGAAGTGAATTTGGTGATCAATTTTGCCACCACATCTAGCACAGTACAAAATATATGTTGAAACGGGACTCTTGGTCTGTGGTCCAGTTTCAGTAAAGTTGGAGTACTTTGAATAAGCCTCATTGTTTCCAGATTTATTATTCTAAGACTCACCATTTTAAATGGGATTACCCTGAATGAAGGAACACTGTTTGCAGAGGATTGTTCTGTAACATCTCTATCCAGCATCAAGCAATTCAGGGTTCAGAATACTTTTATTTTCTATCTGGAATCTAATAACCTGAAATGCTTGGGGAGGGGGAAGTGTTACAAAGACTATAAAAGCAGATTTTTAAAATTAACACAAGTGTGTATCTCACAGAAACCTGATGCTAATAATAGAATCAGCTCTTTTAAATAGATACTTAAAGGCTTATCTTGGTTTACTCAATTAGTCCAATTTTCTGGGTTGGTGTAGCAAACTAACCATAGGGGCTGGGTTTGTACATGTCAGGCTAAAATGTGGCCAACTGACCTGCCATTCAAAGTGACACATGGACCCAACCATAAAATAACTTGAATTTTATCTTTCTGAAATATTACCGTACAACACAGGAATAACATTAAATCACATGTACGCTTTTAAATTACCATGTGACCCAAGTTCAACTAGGAAGAACATATCAAAGTTTGCACCATTAAGTCAACTCTGCTCCACAGGTATATTTGAATTTATAGCAAGTTTCTGTAACGCAGATGGGCCTATTCCTGTAAGTTGGTACTTTTGGCAGGATCAGACTCCTAGCCATATTTCACTCAGAATGGGATGTGGCACCCAAAGCTTGCCCACTGAAGATTCTTCATGTTTATTCTAATCATGTTTCTTCAGAAGTAAATCCCACTGGATGGGTAGAATTGCTCAGTGCCTTTATTTTCCTTTCAGGAGCATGGCAAGGTGACGCAGAACTTCAGTTTGGGATTTGCAGTCCCCTTGAGATTTATCTATGTGGTTGAGTGCAGCAGTGCCTCTACTCGAGTATTAGGTGCAGCCCATGCTGCTTCCCTTTTCTTTCGTGAGGATGGGACTTACTTACTTATATACTGTGGCCTAGGGCAAAGCTGGTTCCGTAATTCTCAGATATGCAAGTAGAAGGAGACTGTCCATTTGCTGCAACCTAAGAGATAGACATGAAGAGATCCAGGCCCTTTACAGCTTCTTTTTAGGTTGTTGGGAACATTCCTATCACAGATGTCTCTGTAACAAGTAAAGAGAAAGTTTTATAAAATGCATTTTAAACTCAAACAAATGTCTATTAGGTTTGGCAGAAATAATAATGCTGGATTCCTATTGTTAACCAATTTTTTCTCTATCTTAATTATATGGCTTTTAGTAGATTCCCCCTCTGTAAAAATAGGGTAAACGGTTTTAAGCTATAATGGAACAGAATTACAGAACAGTCCTAATAAGGAATACATAAGTAATAAGCTTTTTTGCATTCTGGGGACCTTAACTCAGGCAAATATGTGAGTTCAGCTTTAGACACTCTGAGGTCACATGCAGTAATTTAAGTGCATCAGTTTCACTGCTGGATTATGTCATAATCACCCCCCAAATCTGCTTGAAAATTGTTCCCATCAGTTTGGTGAGGGAAAAAAACATTTTGTAATAGGTATTTTATCACACTAATTTAATTATCCATTAATTTGTCCTGTGGGGCAAATGTAACACACTAGGGTAGCTAGAACCTAGCTTTCAATTTTTTAAATTTAATATATACAGACTTTTTTTAATACAAAACTTGGCAAAAAATCATATACATATTATGTATGTATGTATGTATGAAAAGAACTCTCATCTGGGAAAACAGTAAAATCCCCTTTGTGAATGTGGACAAAATCTTTTAATGAATTGCAGTAATCAGGGAGGGTTTTTTCTTCTCTTCTTCCTTTCTTGCCCTAGAGGAAAAGGAGAGAAATAAGCCACTCCCTTCTGAAGTATTTAAAGTTAGAGAGAAAAAAAAAGGGGGGGGGAGGAAATAAAACACCCCTATTCTTTTTTTCGCTTGTGCTAGTAAAGCAAACATAGGCACACACAAAAGTCGTGGTCTTACTAGTATGGAACTAGTTAACCTTTAACAATTTTATGCTGATGTCATAACTGAGCATGAGTACTGATTAATCCAACCTTTTCTCTCTCTCTTCCCCCCTCCCAGTAAAAAATATTTTTATTGAGGGAGGTGGGGGGAGAGCATAAGAAAAAAAAGAAATAATTTAGAGCAGCCATCTTTGTTTTATGCAGAAATCTTGTCAGGTTCCCCCCAGTGCCAGGAATGTCTAAATATTGTTCATGACCACAGATCTTGGGAGATTGAAAAGAAAATATCACAACAGCAAGAAGAGAAAAGCCTTTATCTTGATTATCCTTTTTTCTTGCATAAGGTTTTTGTTTTGTTTTTTTAAATTTGGAGCTGATTGCTTTTTGAAAGGGGGCATATCTTTTTGAACCCTAAGGAAGAGGGGGTTAAAATTAAGCCAGCCATTTTGGTTTTTTTTTTCTTTCTTTCTTTTCCATGGGGGGCACATTTATCTTTTACCTCGTGGGGGGGTCTGTTTTAAAAATAATTTAAAGGCGGCCATTTTTGTTTCTTGCTCTGGTGGCAAATATTATCCTGAACTCCCCACCTCAGAACTGAAACCCATCTTTCTTCTTTCCTCTCCCCCACCTTGAATTTTTTCCCCCCTTTTCAGAAGGGGGCTGAGGAAACCTCGCAAAGAGGAACAAAGTTGTAGTGGAGGAGAGTCCTGGCAATTGCATGGGACTTCCCCCCCCACTCCCCCTTCTTAATTTTTAATTTTTGGGGCTGAGATGGTGTGAGGGGGGGCGCTTT